GGGATAATTGAATTCAGAGAAATCATCCCATGGAATATCTTTCACGGGTGCGACGGTAGATGACAACTCGACCCCTTTTTACATCCCTACCCTTTGACATTGTATATATATATCAGTTTTGAATTTTTCTGTGGGGGAAAAAAAAAAACCAAAGGTACAGTCACGTGACTTGTATTCGTGATTTATTTATTTATTTTTTCTTTGATCTTGCATAACGTCGCGTTAATTATCAAACTGGAGCAGTCGCGTGAATTTCGAGTCGTGGTTAGTACAGTGTCTCACCGCCGATTGCTAAGGGCGCAAATGGGGAATGAGAGCCCGGAGGGTGGAGAAACTGAAAGCGGAGGGACGGTAAGGGTAGAAGTTAAGGGGGACGAGGAGGGTGGAAAAGTGTAGGAAGGGCCGAGGATACAGGCAATGGTAAAGGAATAGATAATTAAATAATGGCGCGTACGCAATATTCTTGTCGACGACGCTCTTCCCTTCTTCGGGGCGCACGTCTATCGGGGCGAAGCTAACGCACGTGAACGCAGGTGCTGCTGCCACGATTAGATATCGCGAACTAAAAATATGTGAAGCTGGCGCGGACTAAATTTTCATTCTGGACGGCCGATTAGTTGCGCCGAACAGGCTGGCCTTTCAGGTGTCGCGACGTTTATTCTGGAGTCCATTAACGTCGCGACGCCGCGGACGCTGAACCGACCTCAAAGACGACGCCTGTGCTCTATGCGATACGGGAAGGATACTTGGCTTTAAAATATGGCGGACTTTCAAAGGATGCGCGTAACGCGACGGTCTTTTGGTATAGCACATGTATATTTATAAAAAAAAAAAAAACATATATATATATATATAGACGTCAAAAATCATGAACAGACCCCATTAGATTAGATAATATTGTGAACTCGCCTTTAATTGGCTACGGGTCACGTGTAGTAACTGTGCGTGTCATTAAATTCTATATCCATGCTTCTCGTCTCGGACTGTCAAGTCTGAAGTTGGTGGTGTTTGCATTAGAAATTAATTGACCCGGGGACACCGTGGTGATAGCGTTAATTGATAAAAATATTTTTTTTTCGTTTAACGCTTAATAATAATTGACGGTGATTTTTTTTTTTACGGCCTTTTTTTTTCATTTTGACTATAGGTGTATACGTATTGCACGGTTCACAGTTTCTCCGTTCTGTGTTTTACCGTGCTCTGCGCTCCTCCCCTTGACCCCCTGAACTTTCGTTCGACGATTCAGCCCGTTATCATCATCCCTTGATATGCCTCCCGGGTATATACAGCGAGCCTGAAACCTGCGCCACCCACCCCCCATCCTCCACCCATGTACCCCTCACGACCATCCGTGAGCGTTATCGATTCCAATTACCTTAAAACTTTCAATTAATTCAGCTGTCAAGCGTTATACGCGCGCCCATGCCAGGAGGGCATCTCTCTCTCTCTCTCTCTCTCGCTCTCCTTCCCTCTATCGCTCTCCGTCCTTCTCTCTCTCGTACCAGATGTCACGGCTCCGCGAAGCCCGGTTGTTTTATCGGCTCGTTACGCCCGGTCGCCGATTGGCATTTTCTTTCTGTCGGCCCACCGGCACTCTTTGTTTCCCGTTTTCCAATTCGCTTGGGTCGTCCAGATAGCGACTCCCGAGCCGATTGATAAGGCTCGAACTAAGCCAAGTGCGTCTATCTCGAAATTTCACGGGATATTCGCACGGCTTGGCTTCAGTTTTGTTTTCGAATATCAACTTTTTTTTTTCCTCCACCCCTTCCGTCACCACATTGGGATCCCGTCCGCGTTAGCACCACGTGAATTCTTTTTTCGTGGCTTCTCGATGGTACCAAGGTACGATTGCTGGGTAAAATAAATTAAATTTTTTTTTTTTTTTACGAAATCCATGCGATTTTTTTTTTTTTTTTTCGAATTTTCACGGAATTCGCCGAGATCGGGCGATCGCTTGTGGAAATTGTATGGCGCGACTTTCGGTATGAAATTTTTACGGGGTGTATGGTGTTTCTCGCGGGGTTTCTTGGCTGGGCACTGTTGGCAGCGCCGACTATACCAAAAAGACGTTTCGGGTTTGTTCGAGACGAAAAACATCGTAAACAGCTGCCGACTGCGGAGCCGCACCTGTCGCGTCCGTTACTGCGATTTAAATACGGAACGATACTCACGAACGAATCGACGGAGAATCCAGGCGTCCCGTTCCGCGTCTGCGAGTACGTATGGTTTCTGGTCTGCGTGCTGGATCGTCGATGCATCCGCGTTGCAGCTAGGAAATGTATTGCAGATGCAACATAGGGCGTGCACTATATATACATGTATATGGGGATATATAGTCGACTGCAATTTCACATGCGGATGCTGGTATTTCAATATTTTGGCAAAAGAGTTATATGTGTATTTTTGCTATAAAAATAAAATACATGACTACAGAATCGTCAATTGTTTTTTGAATTTTATTTATTCGTGTATATATATATATATATATATATATATATATATATATATAATCTTACTGGAAATTCGCAGTGTGCTCAGTACGTATAATCGTTTATGAAAATTTGTTAAATATCTTTTTAGCTTCGTTGGTATCCTTAGAATTCAGGGTATACTTGGGGTGGTTGGTTTTGATGACGTCATACTGGAGCCGCATTAAATATTACCAGAGTATTTGGGCGTCTTTCGAAAGTGTACTTGTCGAGGAGTTAGTCGCCGGCGACAAAGTAGCTGGAACGTCGTTGTAATGAGAATCCTCATGAAAGTTTGTCGCTTTCCTTGGAGCAGAGTTTCAGTCGCGAAATATTGTCCTCCGGGTGGGTTGTCACCCAGTCCACGTGCTATTCAATAGTGACGAGGGGCCTTCTTCGAACGTACGTCCGTACACGAGTGTATGACATTAGGGCTGACTTGCTTGTCGCGAAACTCTCGCTCTGTCGGGCTGCGTTAATATAAAAATCGATTTAAGCCCGTGGCAACGACGCCGGTAACACTGCTTGGTAGTCGCAACAGTGAAAACTGCAATGACGAGGAGGGTGGAGAAAAGGAACAGGAGGGTGCAGAATATGCATTCAAAGTCATGGCGCGACAGCAGTCTGTCATAGTCAAGGGACTTATTTGTGTTGCGATCCGTAAGTAGATGACCCCTCCAATAGATCTTGATCTCGACATACAAATTTCGCGCACACGAAAAACCACCCTTACGAATCTCATTTTAGCATTGACCCCCTGACGTCCATCCCTTCGAGGTTAATTCCAACTCTCCGATTTCTCGGTACGCCTTATTAAAGCCGATTAAACAATTGCCATTTTAATCGATTCGAAATTCGTTTAATTTCACGAATTTCGCGACCCCCGGAATTTCTTGCATCCCTTCGATCCTTCAGTACCACCCCAACAGTGCTCACCCGGTCCTCTCGTCCCAGTATATAATTCCATCTTTCATCCTCTCGCTCTCCGCCCTACTTTCTCTCTCTCTCTCTCTCTCTCTCTCTCTGTCAACCTCCTTAGGTTCCGTAGTGCCTTCCCCCTTGCACCCTCACTTGCCCAGGGACGCGATAAGGGATTCCCCTCTCGTGAGCCCCTGTTCAGCCCAGCTGCCAGTCCGCGCGAAGGATCCGCGAAAAATAATAAAAACGTCACCCGGCTAATTCGCCAAGCCCCCATTGCCGCCATAAATTACCGGCTCGTTTCCAACGGCGTCCATCGGCGTCTCGGGCATCCACAGCGGTACGTACTTCCGTCCGTCGGACGATGCAATTCTCCGGAAGATCTTCCGCGATAAAAAAGGGTATCCGGCCATCGGCTGCGAACAAACGTCAAATCCAAGTCCCCGGTAACCGGATGATACGAGCCTGGTGATCCTAAGGGCCGAAGGGAGCTACAGTCACGTACCTGATCTACGTGTAACTTACAGCCTTGCACGTATATGGGTGACGTCAGCCGCAATGCCCACCCAGCAGAAGGGCTGGTCGGAGTATCGTGACTACCCGTGAGGGGCGCCCGGGGGACGGGGGTGGGTTCCGTAATACGGGAACAGAGGGGAACGGATGGCATTCCGTGGTCAGTACGGTATGTGCCTATATGCCGCCATGTGTTATCGATTCCTGCCACCGAACCTCCAGGCCCTCCGTTAGCCACGCTGGACTCTGTCCCTCTCTGTCCCACTCGCTCTCCATCCATCTGCCTATCT